GTCGTGGTTCTACGTCGAAGCTCCTCTTTCACCTCGTTCGACACCGTAAACCGCACTCTAACCCGGAGACCACGCGAGCCGCGACTCGCTCGCTCGCTCGCTCGCTTGCTCGCGAGCGTCTCAAACGGCCTTTGTATTCTTATTGGCCGCGCTGGCAACCCGGCGAGCCAGCCTTTTATCGGGAGAGGTCAATCCACCGAGGAACGTATCTAATCTTTCCAGGGTATCTGGACAATTTGTTTCCAGCCTGGCTTTCCTGGTCCTGCTTTCACGGAATCGCGATTCGATCCGTGTTTCTTCTCTCCTCTCCGTTAACCGGTGCGATTTTGCTCCTTTCCGTTCGTCGAGGTTGTCGATCGGTGGTGGATTTCGCGTTCGCGAAACCCAGCCAACGCGAAAACGGTTTCTACCGAACCGTCGAACCGTTGTAGATAGCCGGTTGTTGTGCTGTTGCCTCTCTCGAGGTAGTATCTTTCGATGCCGAAATGTTTACGATAGCAATAAAAGATAGCAGTCGCGCGGGAGTTTTCTGTTTGAAGTTGCGGTGAAATCTCTGTCGAATGGGAAAGGTAAATCTCGGAGGAACACGTTCCGCCGAATGAGCGTTTGGCAGAGCGATTAGCGCGTTGAGTGGTTCGCGAATCTTTTTTTGTTTTCATTTGCTTTTTCTCTTCGATCCGTTTTTCGTGCGAAGAAAGCCTCAAGGTCCATCCAAGCTCGACGGAATTGCCAGGCAGGTGATAACTCGATCACGAATGGTGAATGGACCGTTAATGAACTGTCGAGAGCGACGATAAGCAGGGATAAATAATGCATTACCCTTCGAATGAAACGTGGCGGTGACATGGGAGGATGATTCCGGTTTCGCCGAGAGACGTTTTCGTGGCTGTAATTCTAATTACGGTGTCATCAATCTTTCACTAAATTCAGCGAAAGAGAAAGCTGCACCGACCGCGCGCGTTGGACCAGTTTTAGAGTGCACGCAGCGTGGAAACTTTCAAATTAACTTATGTCCGATTCGACGAGCCCGCCGCCACTCATTCGACTTTCCACGCCACGAGTAGGTATACATGAAATAAAACTTCGTGCCGGATTAACGCCGAGGGAAATATTCCACGTTGGAAAACGTTCGAATATTGACTCGTAGATAAATTGCATGGCGCGTTGATCGTCAATTCTCTTCAATATTCGAGTAGTCGAGGGATTTAGATTGCGAGAAAAGAATTGAAAAATAAAAAAGGCAAATTTCATACCCGGTGTGCAAGCACGAAGGAAAAAAAGAACGTTATTTTAATTTAATAGTGAAAGTGCTAAATAAGTTTCTCAATGCCTCTAGGACATGACTAAGAAAAATTAGTGCTATAATCAACGGTACGTAAGTATTGGTTTGCCTCTTAATGTTAGGGAGATCGGATGATGCAGCATCTGCAATGATTAGTGCATGTTATTCGTGCGGGTCAGGTTTTGAAATCGATAAGCACTTCGCTACTCTGTACGCACGTTATTAAATAATAGCCGATTCGAGCGTGAAAGTATGAAATAGCACTTGTTCACGGATATGTTACCAACAACTAGCCCTTCGTATCAGTCAACAGAAAAAACCAGCTTTTCGTGCAACTTCTTTCTCTCGAAGCGTATATAACATGCGATGAAATTGGGATTTCCAAAAATAAAGGAGCGGTAAGAAGTGTAAGGACAGGACCAGAACAGGAATTTTAGCTTAAGAAAGGAGCGTAGCAAAAAAGTAAAAAAAAAGAAATGAATAAATAAATAAGTAATGCATGGACCAAATGCTCCGTGCCGAAGAACGAAAGTGAGAGAGATAGGAGAGGTGATAGCAGCTTCAAGACAAATAAAATTCGACGAGTGCTGAACTGCTGAAAGGAAAGAATCGAAAAAGAGAGGCCGGCACACGATCGTCCCTACTTAGCAGTGAAAGGGTTAATTACGATCGTCCAACCAGAGAGACGCTCGGCTCGTGTGGGCGAACCGATGCAAGCTTTAAATCGAAGATATCTCGCCGCGGGATTACATGTCGCGTACGGCTGCAAGACACGATCAGGTCCTACTTTCTCTCGCGCACGCACGCTCACCCACCACCGGTTGCTAACGTCGTTAGGTGTGCCTGCATGTGAGACGCGTCGATTGATCGGCAATATAATTCTCGTAGCTCGGAGGTAACGTTACAACGAAGAAAAGTCCTGTATTGCGTTTATTAATAGCGTCTTTCTTTCTCTCTTGTGCCACTCTCTCTCTCTCTCTCTCTCTCTCTCTCTCTCTTTCACGCCGTGCATGAACAACGCATTAGAAAGAAACTCGTTGCCAGAATGAATTATTCATGAAGGATATCAATTATCTGCTGAAGCATAAAATAAAAACATCTGGCTGAACGATCGTTGCAATTAGCCCGTAGCTCATAGGAATTTCACGCCTAATTATGACGTGTATCGCTCGTTCGGCGTTACATTTGCCATCGACAATGACGTCAGCGATGCCGATTCTTCTCCCGAGGTAAAAGCGGGTCGTTCAGTACGAAGCCGTTCATCACTTCAACGAGTCTCGTAATTCTTACAAATCGTCGGAATTCCGCGATTTCCGATTTGCACAACCGGGGAATCTGCTCGTTAACAGTCGATGACGACACAGTGCGTGTTTCTCTCTTGGCCGATTACGTCTAATAACTCACGCAAACCACCTGTACGAACGAATATTGAAAAATTTTCGTCCGCGTGAAGAGACTTGAATGCATTCCGACGCTCCGATCTTAGTTGGATCGGGTACGGGCGATCGGCGACGATCGGGAGTGGAGTGTGGAGAGGAAGAAAGCGACGAGAGGATCGGGATGCAGGAGAAGGGAAGGAATCGAGTGGTTTAATTCATGAGAGAGCAAATGGTTGAGAAACGGAGCAAGTGGCGGTGCGCTTCGTGGCTGCACGTGGTGGCACGTGGAGAGGCGTGGTTCGTGGGAGGGCCGTGTATACCGGTGTAATCCACTTGGCACACGCTGTTCGGCTAACCCTACTCTTTCTCGTCCGTTCGCTACCCTACCCTGACTACTTCTGCCTTTACCCTGCCTACGGTGTGCTGTCGGTGCTAGCGTTGTAGAAGTTAATCGAGTCCTTCCGTGCACGTGCACACGGCTCAGGTGCAGCCTGTTTTCTCTAGTATGCGCTCCCGTAGGTGGGATCGGTTCCACTCGCGCCTCTCCTTCGCGGTCTCGCTGATTCCCGCTGTCTGATAGGGTTCATTGTTTTGAATCGAGCTATCTTAATTGGCCGAGCAACCACCTTGCGCGGGTTACAACGAGAGAGAGAAAGAGAGAGAGAGAGAGAGAGAGAGAGAGAGAGAGAAGGAGCGAGGAAAGGTTTGGATGAGAGAAAGAGAGAATAGGCTTATGACTTTTCGTTAAGGTAATGACAAACTCGCAGCCTGATCGATCTGACTTGCCACTTGAGATTTATGGCTGCATAAATTCGATGCCAGCTACGTTTGCATCGATACTTATCGAGCGAGCCTTGTTATTACGCGCAGCCCCTTTTAACTTGCCGTAACCGGTGTCGCTATCGCATCGAATCGCCTCGCATCCTCTACACCCCTCTGCAATTAATCTCCGCCACGGTGAAATCGTCTACGATCGGGGAACGCCGTGTATTACGACGTGAAAAACCGCTGGGTGGTCCTCTCACGATCTCCCCCACCCGTTACGAAATTTAATTGAATCTGCCGCCTAGACGACTGTGACTATCTCTCGTTTGCATCTTCCCCGATCCACCATCGCTCCTCGAAATGGCGGAGAACTTGAAAGAGTAAAACGCCGCATCTGTTTACCCGTCACTTGTTAACGTCACTTTCTATTCGTTGTATCTCGCATCTGACGTATCAATTAATAAGACTTCTTTTACCATGGAAACGAATGGAAATAATGGAAACGCAACGACAGGTATCTAACCGGAGATTTCTCGTGCTTTTCCACGTTTATCGAGGATTTTGTCTCTCTCACGGACAGAAGTTAGAGATAAAGATAAAAGGAGAACGATCTCACTTGTTCATTGCCGATAGCGTATAGTCATCCCTCGGGCGTTAGGGATAATATCGTGTAATAATAATCGAGCAGGGGGTATGGCTGTCTGCATAGGACGGTAGTATTTTAAATGCCAATGATTTCATGTCTCCCTGGGGTGTCGGAGTTTACCCTATATAGGACGAAACGCCGGCATCGAGGACCTCAGTCGAGGACGAGAATTCGACGATTAGCGAGTCAGTAGCGGACAGTGATAACGACGAGCAGCGTCAAACGAGAGAATCGGGAACCAGTGAAAGCAGTTTTCGAATTCCATCGGCTACTACAAGGCCATCCTTGGCCTGGTGATCGAAATTCACTCGTATTTGCTGGAATCGATTTGTTCAGCGCGTTCCTCTCTCTCTCTCTCTCTCTCTCTCTCCCACCGAATTCATCCGAATTCGAGTTCCATCGACTCTGAATTGGCCACCAGAGATGATCACCATGGACGCCAGTCACTCTCAGTATCGCAGATACTGTACGTACGCAGTTACGTACGAGATTTACCGGCCGCGTCAGGTCTGGACACAAAAGAAAGAAAAGATCGCGGTATCTTTCCCGGATAGAAATAGTCTGGCGCGCATATTCAACGCGTCGTCGCGCGGAATACGTGTCAGAAAGTTTCGTTCCTCATCCCTCTTTGTTCTATCGTGGAACAATAAACGCGTTGGTTTTAAACCAAGGAGCTTTTCAACACATTCTGGAACATTGTCCTCGATAGGACGTTATACGCGAGCGGCGTTTGATTACAGAGAAGGGAGAAGGTTTTATATTACAGAGAGATGCGTCGCTTATACCGCTGTAAATTGCCCTCTTTCTGCCGTCTCTGTAATTGGTATCACGAGAGACGGATAACGTCTCAAAGATGTTGGTGGCGTTAGGTCGAAGATGGATCTCCTGCTGGCGCAGTAGCTTCAGGGTGTGTTACGTTCTGTTGCAGGGCAGCTGCATTCGCCGAACGGCGACAGCGATAACAGCAACGGTAGCCAGCGCGCGGTGGCTATTACGCGCAACGACGTAGAGCAACATCAACAGACACATCGCCAGCGGCATCAACGACAGGCGACAGCCAACGTTCCAGTTCTCGCCTGCACGAATCAGTCTTCTACAACCACGACCAGCACCGCGTTCACGGTAACGTCAAGTATGCTTCTTCTACAGACACAGGTAAAGTAACTTCCGGGATCGCGCTCTGCGAAACACTCTCTCCCCTTTATTCTATGTTATTAATTATAATCAGGTCAGCAACAATTCACTCCGATCCGCTACGCTCACCCCTTTTCCAGTGACATTATATTCACGACGCAATACCGTCCGATCGATGATCTTTTCCTGTCGTACCTCCAAATTTCACGCGATATAGCCCTGCGCGATATACCCCTCTGTCCTGCTTCACGGTTCACCTGCTTCTTCATCTTCAACGTTTCGTTTCGTTCGAAAATTCCTCCTCGGTCAGTGATCCCTCGCCTCCGACTTACTCCTGTAATCGACTTAATTGCGTCACGGGACAGAAGTTCGGACCCGACTCTGCTACTCGCGATCGGTAACAGAACTGATAATGATAGCTGGCCACGGTTACGCGCAGAAACACGTTTCTCAATGCGATCGGAATTCACGTCGTCTGGCGGATACCAGCTGGTAATTATCGAATCCCGTATTTAGCGGGGCGCTCAGGCTCGCGGTACTTTCACTATTTCACTATCTTATCTGTCCCCGTAGTCTTCGAACCCCGCGAGCCTAGCTCTCGACCCGCAACGAGATCTGCCCTCCTACGTTCCACCGTTCTCGATCGTCATCTGCATTCGCTTATCGTGCACCATCTGCATTCCTGCCCACGTACCCGGATCTCCAGTGTCGTCCTACCTGTTTCTATCCCTTCCCCCTGCCGCGCATTTTCCGTCCCGCAATTCCGTCTTTTTCGTTGGAGATCGCTCGTCTGCGGGATCGTCACGCGTAATGAAAAACAACCTGACACAACGCTCGGTCGTGGCTCTGCTACGAAATTAGTATGTAATCCCACGTAGAGAAGCTAACGCGCGGTCACGCTTCGACGGTGTGGTAATTGCTCGTAGGATGTTTTGCGATGAGGAATGGGGAGTTGAACGGCTTTGGAAGAAGTTGAGGCCGTTTAGAAGGCCGTAGCGAGGGTTATGACAGGCTGGGACTTCGATCGTCGGTCCTCGAGGGAGCGATGAACGAAATGTCAGCCCAGAAGCGGAACCAACCCGGCAAATTGAATATCCGACCCCATCCTACCTTCCTCGTACTGATATCCTCCAGTGCCTACCTGGCCAGACGTTTTTTTCCGTGTCTTTGATTTGCCTGCGTTGTTGTCGCCGATTCGACGAATTTGCTCTCCTTCCTTCGAGAAATAATTGCTGCTTTAATTGCTACATTTTTCTCCTTCTTCTCTTGTCTTTATTTCTTTTTATTCGCGTGCCATCAACGGTTGCACTCGAGCAAAATGTCAGTTGATATTCATAGTAATATTCGTGGGACGAGGTAATATTTACGACGAGACAGGGAGAGAAGTTACAAATCGAGACATCGATGTTTGTGCCGTCAGGTATCGGATGGTCGATAGAATTATATGACTGATCGTACATAAGTTTCGGATTGGGAAAACGGAAAGATTCGCTCGATTTGATTTAACGTAGAAATCTCCGCGCGGTTGTCTGAGTTATAGACAACACGCGATACGAGAGCCAGCTTCGTTCCTCTCCGACATCCTCACTGCGCACCTCAACTGTACATCGATGGCTCGCAATTGCGGTCGGACAATGTTACCGCCTTACAGTCGAGTACTTCGATTTGCCGTTCGCGCGGCTCTCCCGACGTTGTCCGGTTTGTAGCGACAGGAGATTCGACTCGTGGAATCAAACGCTCAAAATTATCTGGGATCGACAGATACTTCGCGGTGCCGTTTAATTATCTTCTAACGTATCTTTGTTCGTTTGAAAAGACATTGGAGCATCGTTGAATCTTTCTCGCAGGATATTTAAAAATTGTCCTCTGTCAAGTTTACGATGCAAATTTGGAAATTGTTGACAATCGTTGAAAATTGTTCAAACGTTGCACGAAGTTCGATATTAGAAATGATCCAGCCAAGGTTCGACGCGATTTTTCCAGAGCCCGTTCGGATGTAGCACTCTGGCGGATTTGTTGAGCGCCTCATACACGGATCCAGCGGACGCTGGAAGTCTACCCGAAGAGCTAGATCCGTTTCCGGAACTGCAGCTGGGTAACCCTCAAGGAGTACCCACGGCTGACGAGTCAGCCCAATCACATCACCAGCAAGCACCGCAGCCGCCCCCGTCAGCAGCGCCTCTCGCCGAGGACGTCCAGCCAGACTCGCTTAGGTACCGTTCATTGTTTTCAACCTGTGCATTTCACCTTTCGTAGATAGAATCGTAGATAGATGCGGCCGATAGGTGTGGGATAAATCGCATTTGTGGCATTGTTTCGTGACGCTTCTACGAATCTGCATATTCCGCGCGCGAGTGTACGTGCGAGATTGCACGTTTCATCGTGCGATTTAACGATCATCGTCAGTAGCGGCGCGGAGGGGGAGGGAAATCGTAGTTGGCATTTCGTCGGGAAGAATCGACCGGTCCATTGACATTTAATTCTGATCTCTCTGTGACGCAGTTCAACACCCTTGCCGAGCTTCCAAGAGACGTACACGGCTCAACGGTACACGAGACAGGAACTGCAAGTTCTCGGCATCAAGATGGACGAGGGCGAATGCTACGATAATTCGGTGTATCCGTGCGCCACCGGCCATTATCCTGCCGAGTTCTCACCCGCGCTGCCCTATCACAATCATCAGCAACCACCGCAACAACAGCACCATCATCACCATCCTCAGCAGCAGCAGCAGCAGCAGCAGCAGCAGCAGCAGCCAGCACCGCCTCCGCAACAGCAACATCATCATCATCACCAGGGCTATTTCCCAACCGAGACGGCGTTAACTCCAACCACCGCTGTTCTCTCGCCGTCGAATCATCGACAAGACTCGCCGTACGGCGCGGTGGTCAGTTTACCCATGGTGTACGGCCCACCACCGACCATTACCGGCGGTACCACTCCGGTCGCGTCGACAGATCTTTATCCCACTGTTGACAACGTGGTCGTAGGGACGCCTCGTCCACGGAGATCGTCCGTACCCACGCAACGGTCAGAATCCACGAGGTAACGTCCACGAATAATCGTCTTAAGCTTGAAAATTAACGTTTCTGTTTGAAAGGAATTTCGTTGGAATTCCAACTCGTCTATCTTGGAATAAAAGAAGACAAGTTTGTGTTGGTTTCAATTCGAGATTTCAAAAAGAAACGTCTTTCGTTGACAGCAGTGGCAGTACAGATTCCTCGAAGGCACGCGGCGGAAGCGGAGGCACCGGAAGCTCCGTGAGTTCTCCATCCCCTGGAAGCGGCAACGAACGAGCACCGCCGAGTCCCAGTCAACTTTGTGCCGTTTGTGGCGATACGGCAGCGTGTCAACACTACGGTGTGCGTACCTGCGAGGGTTGCAAGGGATTCTTCAAGAGGACCGTGCAGAAAGGCTCGAAGTACGTGTGCCTGGCAGAGAAAGCTTGCCCCGTTGACAAACGGCGGCGGAATCGTTGTCAATTTTGTCGCTTCCAGAAGTGTTTGATGGTCGGCATGGTGAAAGAGGTGAGTCAATACTCAATTCTCAATAATGAGTTATCCGTCGTGAAAGAAATGAGAATTCATAAAGAAATAATCAGGAAAAAATTGTAAGGATATCGATAGAGATATCGAGAGTAAGGGGAGGTATTATTGTTTAACAGGTTGTCAGGACAGATTCGTTGAAAGGTCGCCGAGGTAGACTACCATCGAAGCCGAAATCCCCGCAAGAATCACCGCCAAGTTCCCCGGTTTCTTTGATCACAGCTTTGGTTCGTGCACACTTGGACACGACACCCGATCAGGCGACGTTAGATTACTCGCAATACCGGCAACCAAGTCCTGGCGATCTACCCATCACAGAGGCGGAAAAGACACAGCAGTTTTACAATCTTCTCACCACGTCCATCGACGTGATTCGTACCTTTGCCGATAAGATACCCGGATTCACGGATCTCGTACGGGAGGATCAGGTTTGTACATTTCTTCTTCTTTTTTTTTTTCTTCTCACGAACGATCGTCATTAACCTTGGATGATTTCTCGTGCAAGCACACACGAGTCGCGATATATTGTTCATTATGTACATTCGACGGGCAGACAATATCTGTAAGGGAAGCTTTCATTAAACAGATCGATAGCTTGTACATTTTCTAAAAGGTCAGTCCTGACGAGACTACGACATGTCTAATCGACGGTCTGATTGGTCGGTTGTCTAGCCTGCTAGCTTCGAGCTAGTGTAACCCGTCTTCCACGACTCACGCAAATCTTTCATACATACGGTGTATTTCATAACATTTTTTTTTGTGTAACGCGTGTTTTTTTTCGTGATTGCCCCTGCCCGTAGGAGTTGCTTTTCCAATCAGCCAGCCTGGAACTCTTTGTTCTTCGATTGGCGTACCGCACAAAGCCAGAGGACACCAAGCTGACGTTTTGCAACGGTGTGGTTCTCGCATTGGAACAGTGTCAACGTAGCTTTGGCGACTGGCTCCACAGTATCCTCGAGTTCAGCAAAGCTCTTCACATTCTCGACGTAGACACTAGTGCTTTCGCTTGTTTGTGCGCTCTCACCCTCATTACTGGTAAGTTTCGTCAACTTCGTGTATGTTCCTCCTTGTTCGAGAAATCTCGATCATAGGCAGCGAAACTTATTTCTCTATTCTGGTTTACCCTCCTTTCCACTCTCGTTTGTCCGGCGACTCTCCATTAGGCGCGACCGTCTGCCAGATGAATTATTTATCGATCAATCGGTTAGATATTGATGCGACGACGAAAAGAAACCGCGATCGTTCGTGTTCGTTGCACGCGATACGTCGACGCGATTTTCCACGCGAGTTGCATGTGCGTGCTCTTTTTTTTCGGCTAGTTCGACGACGTCGTAGAAATTACGATTGCACGCAACGTCGGGTTACCCCCTTGCCGTTTAAATTGGCCAGGGGATCTCGGACAACCTGGTAATCCTCGTCCTTAAAGTTATCGAATAGCTGAAAGTGCGATCGATTGATAAAAAAAAAAAAAAAAAAAAGAAAAAGAAAAAGAAAAAAACGCGTGTGTTTCTCTGCTTGAAATTACAGCAAGGTACGGCCTGAAGGAGCCTCATCGCATGGAACAGCTACAGTCGAAAATAATCTCGTCCCTTCGCGATCATGTCACCTACAACGCCGAGGCTCAGAGGAAAGCGCACTATCTATCCCGTTTGCTAGGTAAACTACCGGAACTGAGGAGTTTGTCGGTGCAAGGGCTCCAGCGTATCTTTTACCTGAAACTGGAGGATCTGGTCCCGGCGCCACCCATGATCGAGACGATGTTCGTCGGTAGTCTACCCTTCTAATCGCCTTCTCAAGCGAAGCCTAAGGCTGTATCGTCGCGTAGAACAGTTCAACTCTTGAGATCTTGTGCGGTTGCGTACCTACTCGATTAAGTTTCCTTAGTTCTTATACGTATACATAGGTTTTTATTATCTTCTTGCGTGTACCCCTCATGGTTTTCACACAAGTATCGACGCGTGGATCATCGGTATACCCACTCGAGAGTTAGCTCGACAGAGAAAGAAAGAAAGAAAGAGAGAGAGAGAGAGAGAGAGAGAGAGAGAGAGAGAGAGAGAGAACGAGCAAACTCCAGTCTTGAGAGGACGACGAAGTCCTCTTCCTGTCGAAGACTTGTTGGTCTCGAGGCTAACTCGTCGTCTGGGCGTGTTTAGCAAATACATAGATGCGTGCATGCGATCGAGCATCGTGTGAGTGGACGTTGGAATAGATGCACAGGCGAATGGACGAGTCGGAAGACGTGATTTGTCGCTAAATTTAAGACAAAGTTCCACGGTGTATGTATGAGAGACGGGTGGATGAACGGGGCGCGTGTCTTCGTGATGTGTCAGCGAGCAGACGTGACTGCTCGTCCTGACAACTGTTACTATTGTTACTACTATTATTACTGCTATTACTATTTTATCACTGTAGGATGTAACAACTATTCTTGCTATCGAAAGTAACGACGCCCAAGCAATGAAGGTGGATCCGATTTCTCGGCGAATTGTCGGGGCAACTACAGAGAAACGGCAGTGAAACAAACGATAGATTTCCCTTTCGTAACGAAAAACGAGCATAAGAGAAACGCGAACGAGCACGATGGCATCACGGACGATTCATCACGAAGCGTGTTATTAACTGGTAATTCCAAATGCTACGCTATTTCTCGTAAACATGCACAAGATAATCGAAAAGAAAAAAAAAAAAAAAAGAAAGAAATAATACCATACACGTTATATACACGTATCATACGTACACCTACACACGAATTTTTATCACTTTTCTACCTACTTTGTATAAGTCGCTACGTCAACGAACAAACCTACGTTTCTTTCATTGCTAGTGCCGTGTCGATCGTTCCCGACGATTCGTCCAATCGAGGCGAAATTCCTCTTCTTTCGGTGAATAAACGTACTTACTACTCGTCGAGGAGAAAGAAGAGAGACGACTCGCAACATATCAGAGCAACGACGGAAGAGCGGAGACAAAAGTAGATTCCCACATGTGTTACGTTACTAATTGATATTCCTTTATCCACTCTGTGTCCCAACTCCTAAACGAATCTCGCTCTTCCGTGTTGGTAGTTTAGGTGTATGTAGGTCGTGACTGTGATCACACTCGAACGTCGCGATGATGCTAAAGAGAACCGTCGGTAGCCAAAAAGAAATATGAAACTCCTCGTTTTCCGATTTCTCGACTCCCTATGCTCTTGTTCATCCGATATTCGTGCCCTTCGGCTTACCAGCCTCGTCGATCCGAGGCTAATCGGTGCTGTTCTCCTCTCCAGATCCTCGATCGCATGGAATTTAGTATCATTGAAAACGTGTGAGTGTCTTCCAAGTCACGCGGTCGGAATTCACCCGGCCCAAAGTAATTACCACTATTCTTGCGTTAATGTGATTTTAGACAGCTAAGGGAGAAGAAGAATGAGGTAGGACTCGGGCTTAGCCAATTGGCTGCACGATTCGTCTGATCGGATGTAAAGAGAGATACATACGGGAGATACATGCGTGCATATCGTTATTTCGATCGCGATCGATTGGCAGTGAAGCAGTGGCTTCGTCACGAGTCCGGCATAAAGTTACCTATTACGTTATGACATTTATTTTTTAATTAAACTAACGTAGAAAGTCCTATTTATACGTATGCCGCGCCGCTATTACTACTTATACTATTACTTGCTACTTATTAATTACTATTACTTAACTACTACTTATCGCTAGCATTACGATCTTATGGCGTTACTATCGCTACTACCGCTGTTACCATCCGCTACCTTCTTACCACCACCTTGTGTTACCATTACTTGCTAAATGCGTAAGAAACATCGTCGACGTTAAGCACTCTTCGCCGCAGCAGTGTATCACCGTGAAGAAGAATTAGACATCTCCTCTAAATGTAGAGAACTGATTAGCCCTTGGAATTGGATTGCACCGACTCGCGTGATCCAAAGAAGCTGGAAGTGATCCACGATTTATCTAGAGAAGAATTGGAATCATGCTACATCAAGAAATCGCTGATCGTCGGTTTAGTTGGCGCAAACTCTTTCCAGCATGGCCCGTTGAAAAAATGGTCGTCCTAACTGTTCGGCAAACAATGCTTTCCCCTTTTGTGTGTATGTTACTTGTCAACGTAAAAGTACAGCCCAGTAAATCAATTCAACCGATACAGCGTTTACATCGCAATATTAATCTTAGTAGGCATGTCTAATTTCAGAAAGACACGTTCCGTCGTGGCGATCGCCGTCAGCGGTTCTTTTAACTTAACAAGAGGCAGAAAACACGTTAACGATACATATAAATGTGCACAATAGGTATAAAATAATTACGTGTGTATACGTTATTCTCTAATTGCCGTGTGTATCCGCAAATGTTCAATGCTTCGTAAGGAGACAGAGAGAGGATCCGGGCTTAATTTCGAGCTGGATCGTTCTCGATTTTCCTTCTTCTTCGATCTCTGCGCGAATCATAGTTCCTTCAAGAAAA